CCTGCTCCGGCCGGGGCGCCTCTCTCTCCCCCCGGGCCCACAGGCCCTGCCCGGAGCCGGCCCCAGCGCGGGCTGCTCACGGGGTCACGGCCTCCTTCGGGCATCCCCCTGCGCCGGCATGGGGCCCTCCCCAGGTGCAGGTGCAGATCTGCTCCCCATGGAGCTCCATGGCCGCAGGGGCACAGCCGGCCTCCCCGTGGGCTTCCCTGGGGGCTGCTGGGGACCCTCTGCTCTGGAGCCCCTCCTGCCTCTCCTTCTCTGAGCTGGCGGTCTGCAGGGCTGTTCCTCTCACATATTCTCACTCTTTTGGCTACAATTGCCCAGTTTTTCTTCCCCTTCTTAGTTCTGTTACTGCAGAGATGCTGCCACCATCGCTGATGGGCTTGGCCTTGGCCAGCACTGGATCTGTCTTGGAGCCAGCTGGCACTGGCTTTCTGGGATGTAGAGGAAGCTCCTACATGTCTTTAGACACTTTATGGTGAACGAAACATGACAGCACCCATTTCTCCTTTTGTCACCTCAGAACTGGTCCCTGCTATAAACTGATGCTTTAGATTCAGTGTTGGAATCATTGGAATCATAACTATTAGATGACATAATGTGGGGGTTTTTTGCTTCTGTGTGTTTATTACAGGTGAGATCTGCCGTGCCCATAAGGTTTTCTTCCACACGGATGCTGCACAAGCAATTGGTAAAATTCCTATGGATGTCAACGACATGAAAATTGATCTTATGAGCATCAGTGGCCATAAAATTTATGGGCCCAAAGGTACTTACCGAAGTGCTTTTCTAGAGAATTGTTGCTTCCATACCTACCTTAAGGTAACAGCACAAGGTATGAAGTCAAACCAGTCTGTCATAGTGACTGTTAGTTAAACTGTAGAAAACTATTCAAAGACTGGTATTGGACTGACTTTCATGAACTTTCTGTTCAGGCATTGCTGACAGACTTAGGGCTGTGGTAAGTGGGTCTTCAGTGCTGATGGATTGTGAGGTGGCTTCACTGAAGGAAGAAACGGTATCTTAGAACGATGGCAGCGTTAGGAGTGTTTTTTTAGGAGTCATCTGCTTGGTGTGAAGCAGCATGAATGCTGAAACAGTTGAAATGGAATTAACTGGGTTGTAGGGCAAAGTTTAGACCCAAGCGTAAATTGCAACGCAGAGATCAAAAAGTAACTAGAAAGATTAAAGTTGTAGTGATTTTGATTGTCTTCTTCCAATGGCTTCTTCCCCCGCAGTCGCATTTGTGCATCTTCTTTGCAGAATGGGGTTTAAAATCCAGCTATGGGTTTTCTAGTTGACTCCTAAATAGTAAAAGTTCATGTATTATCACTGGCATGGTCCATTTAGTTTGTAACACCGGATGTAGACAGATGGATATCAGATTTGCTGTATTCTATGTGCTATTCAGAAACAAAATTACTATTTTTTCAATATGCCATCTTTTTCTGTACGAGCTCTCCTGAGAGCTGAAGATACATCTCTGGATGAGGACTAAGTTTTCAACCATTAACTTTGGGCAGCTGACAGACATAAATGTTCACAACTTATTATGACCAGAAGTTGCAACCATTCTTCCTGTGGTGACAGTCAGCCATTAGGTATGCCAAGGCACATGAAGACATGGAAATCAAGGTTCCAGGTGAGGAGACTAGAAAGTGAAATTGGTTGGCTGTCAGAAGGGGCTTAACTAATCTACGTGTTGGAAATTGGTGTCACTGATTGCGGGAGAAGGATGGACTTCACA